ATAAAAGTATTTTTTAAAAATACACAAAAAACCTGCAATATACAATTGGTAGAATCTTGTTTGTATAAAGTGCAGAGGATCTGAAGCTTTTGCTAATAAAGGTCAAAGACTGCAGGTTACAAAAAAAAAAAAAAGGATAAAAAGGGCCATATATGTAAAAGACCAGTTAATACAGCTATTTTTCAAATTATGCACTAATTACTAAGTCAGTGGTGACGAAATGAAAGAATTCTACCAACTTCTGCATTCTGAAATGGATCAAACACACAACCAAGAAGGATTCATTAATGGTGATTGGGATATTAAAGTTGGAAACAAAGAGGAAGGATCGCTAATTTGAAAATATGGCCTTGATGTTGCAGAAGAAGTGAGATCTCCCGTTATAATTTTGCAAAACTGATCATTGTAAATAAACTGTAAACAAGTTTTATCATTGTAAATACATTGTAAATAAATTTCTTCATTGTAAACACATTTTTATCAAAAGCATAAATAGGGACTATACATGTGGACCCCACCAAATGAAATACACAGGAATTAGACTGACTAACTGTGGGACAAGACAACGGAGAAGCACAACATTATCAGTCAGAAAAGGGCCAGCAATGAAATGTCCAGCAGACCACCAATTGCTATTATTCAATTTCAGATTGAAGCTGAAGAAAATTAAAACAAGGCCAAGGGAGCCAACATGTGACCTTGAATATATCCCATCTGCATTTAGGGACCATCTCAAGAATTGATTCGATGCACTGAACACTAGTGATCAGAGACCAGATGAGTTGTGGAATGACTTCCAAAACATCATAGTGAAGAAAGCACATTAAAAAGACAGGAAAAAAGAAAAGCTGAAAGTAAGAAGAGACGTTGAAACTTGATTTGGAACATAGAATAGTTAAAGAGAATGGAATAAATGAAGAAGACAAAAAAGAGCTGAATGGATCATTTCAAAAAGCAGCTTGAGAAGACAAAGTATAGTATTATAATGAAATGTGTAAAGACCTTGTGGTAGTTACATAATCTCCAGTCAACTGGAGGGTATTCAGAGTGAGGGGTGGGGTTTAGCCTGCCAATCAGGTCGCAGCTTGATGACCTCATTTTGGAGGCACGACAGAGATAAATGGCTCACTGGAGGTGGGACCCATGCTCTCTCTGCTTCATATTTCTGTGACAAGCCACATGGAGCCACACTGATGGCAGCCAAAGCCCTGAAGATGCGTCCACTGCCACTGGACCCACAGGTCTTTCCCCTCATTGGCCTGTGATCTTCCTGCATTCAGCAACATTGTATGCATTGCGTGAGTCTGAAGAGTAATATATAGACTAGTATTGGACATATGGGCCAATATAGGTCTTATGGACTGGGCTGGGATGTTTTCTTAATATATAATTACTTTTGGATATAAAGCTTTTTCCTATACATATATGAGTCTCCCTGAATTTGTTTCTCTAGTCTACCCGGACTAACACGGACCTGGAGGTAGGAAGTCCAAAGGGAACAACACATTCATCATTTCTCAAGCTGAAAGAACTGAAGACAACACTCAAGTCTTGAGTTGTAATATTGCAAGTTTCTATGGACGAAATTTTAAATGATCAGGAAGTATAAAAAAAGAAGAAATAGAGTCATTGTGAAAAACATTCAAATCATTTCACTCAAAAACATTCCAGCATTTCAAGAGATAGCATATGGTCAAGAACTGATGGTATTAAAGGAAGACATCCAAGCTACATTGAAAGTATTAGTGAAAAAGAAGGTTCTAGGAATGTATGGAATGCCAATAGAAATGCTTTTGCAAATTAGTGCAGACTGGAAGCACTCATTGGTCTATGCGCTGGTCTTTGGCCAACCAATTGGAAGGGATCCATATTTGTGCCCCTTCCAAAGAAAGGTGACTCAACAGAATGTTGAAATTGTCAAAGAATATCATTGATATCACATGTAAGTAAAATTTTGCTGAGGGTAATTCAGAAACGACTCAGCAGTACATTGACTGGAATTTAAGCCAGATTCAGAAGAGAAAGTAGAATAACGGATCACTGAATCTTGCCTGAAAGAAGAGAATACCAGAAAGATGATTACTTGTATTTTATATATTGTTATGTATTGTTATGATCCGTATTTTCAATCACCTCATATGCAGGTAAAGTTGGACAAGGAATTAGGAAGACCAGGGAGGAATTGATGCATTTGAATTTCAATTGTTGGCAGAGAAAACGAACTATCATGGACTGTCAGGAAAAAAAAAAGCAAATTTGTCTTGGAGTAGTACAACCAGAATGCTCTTTAGAAGAGAGGTGGTTGACACTTTAACATACTTTGGACATGTTATCAGGAGAGGCTAGTCCTGGAGAAGAACATCTGATTGATAAGAGGGTCAGCAAAAAAGAGTAAGACCCTTACAACAATGGGTTTAGACAAAGCAAGTCTGAGGAAGGTGCAGGGCCAGGCACTGATCCCTTCTGTTCTATATATCCAGGGTTGCTATGGGTTGGAGCCAACCTGGTTGGCGCCCAACAACGTGGTTGTGAAAATGCATTGTCAATTGCGACGTGCTGTGCAGTATGTGAAAGCAGGGGAAACTTGATAGTACTGGGGTTGAAAAAAAAATTAGTTTGGGGACGTAGGGAAATAGTTTTCATGCACTGGGAATTAGTTCATACACTGGGAACAACGAATAAACGATCCCAACAGCAATGATTACCCTTTCTGGACTGTTGCCCAACCTGTGGTAAAATGTGGTTTTAAAAATGTATATCACACCTAATCTTTACCAAGGTCTTTGAGTTGCAACCTTGTGGGTGAAGAATCTATAGCTCAGAGAGGCTAGATGACCAGGTTGGCTTCATCATAATGGGGACAGAGACATACAAGTAACCAGATTTTTTCCTGCCACGTTCGTCCAAAACAGTAACACCATTGCCCACTCACGTTCATTCGCCCAATAGCACACGGTTCGTCCACGCAACTACACATGGTTGCCTGCACAGCTCCATTCCTCGCCCTCCCGGGCCCCTAGTTCTCATTTAGGGATGGTACAGCCCTTTTTTCCTATCGCGAGACTTGAAGAGTCGTTCCTCTGGTTACCAAGGGAGCAGTTTCGGGAAACGGAAGTGTTTTAGACGGGCAGCTCCGCCACTTCACAGAGGCTGCCGTTGCGGGGAGAATTCTCCTCGCGGAGGGAAAGAGAGCGGCGCTGCGAGTGTCAGTGGTGCATTCCTGCCCCAGGCGACTGGCTAACTGCTCCGGGAGTCCCTTTGGGAAGGTGAAGGACCACACGGCTCAGGGGCGGGGCTCAATCTTCGCGCGCGGAGCCAATGAGTGGGCGGGGCGGAGTTTTGTCGAAGGGCGGGGCGCGGAGACGGACTGTAGTGGCAGTGTGTAGGGCCAATGAGAGCACGGGGCGCACCGTGCTGGGCGGAGTCTTGTCGGAGGGCTGGGCGCGGAGACGGGCTGCCGTGGGAGTGTGTAGGGCCAATGAGAGCACGGGGCGGACTGTGCTGGGCGGTCTCGGAGTCGGGGGCGGGGCCTGCGCGGCTCCTTCCACCCTGCAGGGTGGCTGCGGATCGTCGCCCAGGAGCCTGTTCTCTGAGGATTACTGGGGACACGTGGATGACATTCCTGACCTTGGGACCTAGTACCAGGACACTCGCCTTCCTGGAATTTATATGAAAAGTAGTCACCACAGCAATGCCTTCGAACAGGCAGTTCACAGTTTAAAAAAAGGGAGGGGCAGGTGGGCAAGTGAGGGCTCTGGCGAATTGATCAATGACTGATTAGGGACGCAACCTTTCTTGTTCTTAAAGAAATAGCAACCCAGGCCCCAGATATGTCGGCTTAACAAAAATGAAAATCCGCCGATTACCACATTGACGTTAGAATGGTGTGTGATGAGACAAGCACGCTCTTCGTACGCTGTTTAGTAGGAGGTTTGCTACATCCTCTCTGGAGGGCAATGTTGGGTACTAGCAGGAGCTCTGGTGACCCAGTGGTTGGTTACACGTTAGGCTGCTAACCTCAAGGTCGGCAGTCCGAAACCAGCAGCCACACAGCGGGCTAAAGAAAGACTAAAGTTGTCAAGGAGTTCGTCTTGCTTGAATCCTCTACCAATGCTCATGGAAGCAGCAGTCAAGAGATCAAATGATGCATTCCACTGGGTGAATTTACTGCACAAGATCTTAGTATTGAAAGCAAGGATGTTACTTTGAGCACTAAAGTGCACCTGACGCAAGCCATGATATTTTCAATGGCCTCATATGCAGGTGAAAGCTGAACTTTGAAGAAGGAAGACTGAAGAATTGCTGCACTTGAATTGTGGGGCAGAAGAATAATTGAAGTACAACTTGTCTTAGAAGTTCGGCCACAGTGCTCCCTAAAGGCAAGGATTGTGAGACTTATGTACTTTTTGGGCATGTTGTCAGGAGAGACCAGCCTCTGGAGAAGGACTTCCTTGGTAAAGTGCAGGGGCAGCGAAGGAGAGGAAGGCTCTCAATGGGATGGATTGACACCATGGCTACAACAATGGGCTCCAGCTTAAGAGCAGTTGTGAGGATGGTGCAGGACCAGGGGGTGTTTCCTTCTGTTCTGTTGTGCGTAGGATCATTATGGGTCTGAACCAACTCAACGGCCCCTAACAGCTGTTCCCTCTGCCGGGCTTGGTTTTTATTATTCACAGTTCTTGGGCCACAGAGGCTGGCATGCTACTTCAGTGTGGGCTTAGCTGATACGTCACCTGTTTGGGGACAAGTCTTTGAGACCCTAGATGTTATTCTTTCTGATAGCTGGGCACCATCTGCTTTCTACACCACCCTTTGCTATAGCACCCCTGTCTTCAGTGATCACTTCATGGGGGCAGGTTGAGCAGGATGGCCCTGTGGTTTTGCCTGTTAAAGGATGTCATCTAAATAGAAACAAAGAGTATGTAGCTTTTTGTATCTGGCTTTAAAAAAATGTATTACAATTCTTTTTAGATTCAAGGATGTTGCTGTGTGTACTGATATAATTAATATGTCTTCTTTTATTTCTGAGTAATAGTCATTTGTATGGATAAAGCACAGCTTATCCATTGCTTCACTCCCTCCCTCCCTCCCTGCCATTCTGTCGATCCTGACTCTTAGGAACCTTGTTGGACAGAGTGGAACTGGCCCAGTGAGCTTTACAGAAGTTACAGCCTCATCTTTCTACCTGTTCTTACTCCCAGGGCATTTGGATTCTTGCCAGTTTCTTGTGATTGTTAGCAGAACAGTTACAAACATCCATATGCAGGTTTTACTTCTTGATTAGATACCTAGAAATGAGATAGCCGAATCATATTGTAAGTGTATGTTTGCTTTTATAAGAAACCAGCAGGCTTTCAAAATTGGGCTGCAATTGCAAGGTCAGCAGTTAGAAACTACCAGCCAATCTGAGGGAGAAAAACAGGGCTTTCTACTTCTGTTTTTTTTTAAAGATCATTTTATTGGGGGCTCTTGCAGCTCTTTTTACAATGCATACATCAATTGTATCCGACATATTAGTACGTACATTCCATCGTTCTTTTCTAGACATTTACGTTCCATTGAGCTCTTGGGATCAGCTTCTCTTTTCTTCGCCGTGCCCCCTGACCCACATAGCCCTTGATAGATTGTAGATTGTTAATTATTTTCAAATCTCACCACAACCTCTGTCTCCCTCCCCTCTGGTTTCTGTTGTTCTTCCCCCTGGATGGGGGTATGTGGTCATGTGCCATTCATTGCTGTTGGTGGGCCCCTTCCTCCCCCATCCCCCCCTCCCCTTCTGGGATCTCTATTCCCATTCCTGCTCCTGGTTCCATGTGTTGTGAGTTTTATCTCTTGCCTGTACCTGTGTATATGCTCTCGTCTAGTCCAGAGTGGGAAGAGGCAATAGGGTCATGATAGTGGGGGGTAAGGAGGCCTCAAGAGATCAGAGGTATATTGCATGATCCATTAGTGCTCTAATGTACCCCTTCCTGTGACCCCTCTGTGGGGGGATGCTCCGTTGTCCTCAGATGGGCTTTGGGTTTCCGCTCCAACCCCCTCCATTCTCACCAAAGCATTTCTGTTTGTTTGTTTACTGTTTGTTGTGAATCTTCTGATGCCTGTTGCCTGGTGTTGGTGACACCTCACGATCGCACCGGCTGGTGTGCTTCTCCCATGTGGGCTTGTTGCTTCACTGGTGGATGGCCTCTTGTTCAACTTCAAGCCTGTAAGACCCCAGACATATCTTTTAATAGCCGGGCACCATCCTCTGTCTTCACCACATCTGCTTATGCACCATTTTGTCTTCAGCGATCGTGTGGAGGGTGGGGTGGGGGTGGAGTGAGCATCACAGAATGCCAGTTTGTTAGAACAAAGTGTTCTTGTATTGAGGGAAGGTATCAGCCAAGGCCCATGCCCGTTTGCAGCTTCAGTGTATTGCCTTATAAATATATTTACATAGGCCAATACCTCATATTTATGGATTAATGTATTTACATAAGTGCACACCTCTGTTGATACCCCTATCTCTGCCTTTGCTTCCTAGAGCTTGCCTCTGTTTCCCTTTGCCTCCTCAGAACCCCACAGAGCAGTTCCACCCTGTCCTGTGGGGTCACCATGAGTCGATGGCAGTGAGTTTGGTTTGCTTTGGTGCTGTTTTGCATTCCTACTAGCAACATATGAGAATTCACATTGCTCCCTCACCTTGTTAGTGCTTTTTATATATTTAAAAATGAAAACAATTATAATAGGGAACACCCTTATCTTATTGTGGTTTATATGTGCATTTCTCTAGAGACCAAGGATGTTAAAAATCTTTTCACTGGCAAATTCGCCATGCATATATCTTCTTCGGTGACATGACTGTCCATATCTTTTGCTTCTTTAATTTTGTTTTGAAACCTTGTATATCGCAGATTAATTCCTCTGTAACACATGTGTTCTGCAAATATGTCTCCAGTCTGTGGCTTTTGTTCTCATTCTAGAAACGATATGGTTTAAATTTTTAATTTTAGATCTGTGACCCATTTTGAGTAGGTTTTTGTATGTGGGTAGCATTTTTTAGGAACATATACCCCACATATAACCTACATGAGCATATTTGTTTTAAAAGGGGACATTGATGCAGTGAGATACTATGCTGTCGTGTGAAAAGATGAAGTGTACCTATAAATGCAAATGGAGAAAAATCTCCAAAATACATTAAGTGAAAAAACAAGAAGTTGCAATGAATCATGCTGCTTGCTTGTGTGTGTGTGTGTGTGTATGTGTGTGTTTACATGTTGGTGGGGTATTAAGGGTAGAAGATTTGCAGATGCCTGAAAAATTGAGATTTACAAACATCTCTTCAACACTAGATTGGAGAGGAGGATTTTAACTTAATTTTTCCATACTATTTGATTTTGTTTCCCTCAAAGGCAAGCATTTTAAAAATTTACATAGTAAACAAATATGTAATGTAAAAAACAGAGCACAAATCAACCTTTCAGCCATACAAATCATGAAAATGTAACTTCACTTTTTAAAAAAGATTGACTTTATAATTACTAACAGAGGAGGATTCATTTTACTTTTTCATTTACTTTTGATTCTCCCATTCATCCCCAAATGTCAAATTATAGCAGCCATGTGTTCTCATTTTGGTTTTAAATCATCTATGGTGGTTACATTCCTCACGAATTTTCATGAAAGAGTTTAATCTTGTTGAAATGAATGCTATAAAAATGATATATGTAAGTGGAGAGGAAATGTTTTGAGAATGATGAGGGCAATGAATGTACAAATGTGCTTTACACAATTGATGTATGTATGTATTGTGATGAGTTATATGAGCCCCTAATAAAATGATTTAAAAAAAAGATATATGTTAGTTATTTATTATCATTTAGAACATGATCATACTTTATTTAGTGGACTATCATGAAGTCAATAATATTTTACTTTTGAATTATAGTACATAAGAAAATATTTTTCATGTAATGTTAAGTGGTGAAAACAATATGAGTCTAATTTTCTTGAAAGAAGACATAAAGCAAATGGAAAAGAAACATACCAGTATTTTTTTTGCTTAGGCTGGTGGAACATTGGGGAATTTTAATTTATTTTTTGAAAACGTTTTTATTATATCCTAGGAACTTTTATGAAGTAAATATGATTTTTAAAATACTATAGAAAATTAGAAGATATAGATAATGGAAGCACAGAGAAAAGAGACAAGAACATTCAAGTACAGATCAAATCACAACCCATCACTCTTATTGCCTTGATGTGTGGCCATGTTCAGCTCTTT